GAAAAATTATTCGTTGCTTACGAATAACGATTTTATTAGAGGAAAAATTATTCGAACACAGTTGGACATTATTCGATTGAAATTTTATTCAAAATATTTACTGAAATAATGTAAAGAAAAAGAGTCAAGAGTACATTTTTTTTCAATTTTGGTTTATTTAATAAATTTACTTTGCTTTTAATATTTAATAAAACGAAATCTACTTCAACCAACCAATATTTACAAATAAATGATAACGTAGAAATTCTTGTACTACAATTTTTTACAGATAATAACTCTGAACGCATATCCCATAATTAAAAATATATTTTTGAAATATAACTCTCCTTCGCCATTTTTTGCTCCAGCAGAGCGTTCGTTTTCATTTGCAACGACAACAAACTTGTTTAAAGCAAACAGATTAACTAACAAAATGTTCGAACAAAAAATTGTATCAAAAACAAATTCATTAAATAAACCAAAATTGTGAAAAAAGGATTGATCCTGATTCTTTTTCTTTACATCATTTCAGTAAATATTTCGAATAAAATGTTATTCGAAGAATTTATTCGAAATGTTATTTGAATAATGCCCACCTCTGATCTTATCCCCATTGAACTTTTTCCAATTCTATCCGAAATCATCGGACTATCCGAAATCTTTGGGCTACCTGAAATTATCGGGCTACTCGCTCGAGTCTGCCCGACTTTGTGTGAGCCCGACCCGAACCCGAAATTTCGGGTATCTGCACACCCCTAGTAAGTACCGATCTAACCGGTTCAATGTTGTCGAAAGTGACGTAATGTCTCGAGACAAAGAAATTCGACTTTGAATAAATATCACATTGCAATATTTTAATTAAAATATCCCGTGAAGTAATGATTTTTCGGTATAAATGGTTTAATAGAAAATAATGAGTTGAAACAATTAGTGTATTAAAAAAATATACGATTTTAGTAAAAAAAAAACATGAATTGCAAACCCATTTTCTACCCATCCATATAAAAAAATAAATCAATTAATGTTCTTTTCAAAATCATTCAAATTTTGTCTAAAACATTTTTGGATACAATATTAATCGCTTAGAAATTATTTCTAATTCTTCTAGTCTTAGGTGAGATGCATATTATATGTTAAAATGTTATATGCATAATATATGTTATAAATATACGTTAAAAATATCTACATAGTACGGTGTTTCATAAAGAAACTGTGTAAAATTGACACAAGAAACAAATGAGTGTTAACGTTTGTTGTCTAATCTAAATTATGTGAACTTGTGAATTTGTGTTATGAAATGGGATTGAGACGCAACCGCCACAACTTGGTTGTGCTCTACCTATAGACACATCAGGATCTTTATAGGAGAAAGCCACTTTACAATCCTTAGCTATCCAATGGTGTGGTTTAAGGTTAGGCGCTGCTCATATAGGAGGAATTTATCCGAAAGTTACATCTAGCTGGTAGTCGGTTGTCAAATCATTATCTTTACGGTCAACACCAACCAGGAAGAACGCTATTCCCGAAGTTAATCTTGGTCCTCGTGATAAAAAGGTACCAAAATGATAATTTGCAAAACAATCATGATCTTTCGTAACCTTTATCATTAGTAAGACATTTGGGAACACCTCGTGGTGGCAACATTCATCAAGGATAGAGTAATTTTGTTGTTAATTTGAATCTTCTCAGCACATCGAGTATGCTTCTTCGCTCAATGGCATATACAATACTTGTTCCCAACTCCAATTACGCCAACTTTTAGGAAGGAAAAATTTAGCAGAGCGTCTTCCGTGGTAAACCGATCTTTCTTGATAGCGCATGAACTGGGAATAGAGGGGAGGCTCTCACTAACGTAAGTGCCAATATTCCATTCTCTCGGGAAATTGAATTCTTCGAAGATAAACTTCCGTTAAGCATGGTGGCTGTAATTCTTCGATTTCCTTCGATCTGGTTCCCGATAATTTATACAATAGTAATTAACTATGTGATTGCTCTACTAGTGACTTCTTGTATAAGAAGAATTCAGTTTTTTATAAACAGGAATTTAGTTTTGTATAAAAGGTTTGAATAAAAGTTCAAATGAGTGGATTCAATTATGACAGAGTGGCGGTAACATATATTGAGGGAAGTTGCTCAGAATGATCGTTTTGACAACATATTTCAAGATTATCAAAATTGGTAAAGTGCCGATGATTTCGAATAGTTATCATATTTTTTTTATTTTTATAACGAACATCGAGCTGCACTGATTAATTAATTAAAAAATATGTAATGTTATATTGAAAGCACCGAAACTTTTCTACTTACAAAGAATCATTACACACATACATGTACATGTTATGATCGTATTGAATAATTTTCGTTAACAAAGATAATGAAATTTTTCATATCTTCAAAAATAGTAGAGATATTTGAGATGATCATAGTTATTGGTTCAGCCTGTACAATGAAATCAAGATTATATTCGTCGTCGTTACCAAACAACTCCTTATCTGTAGGGACCACATTACATTCTATTTAACGAGTATATACTAGTTCAAATTGCGCGCACCACACAGTGGATTGTAGTAAATACAAATGATAATTACGCCATTAACTAATCGAATCGCTACTGAACATATATATCTGTGAATTTTTTTGGCATGTTTGCTATTTTGTATAGAGTTTTAACGAGGATATCGTACGGTTTGTTTAGGATAATACGCAAGAAGTTGTTTTGGATCTTTTGAATCTTGTTTATGTGTTTGTGTGCGGCAGCTGCCTAAATTTGGTGTCCGTATGTAATAATTGGTCTAACGCATACTTTATATAAATTGAGTTTTATGTTGGTTTTTAATCTGCTATTTTTAGATATTAGTGGGATAAATTGGATATAGGTTTGCCCGTTTGTTTGTGGCAGCTGCCCATGTGATTTTGGAGTCAAAGATGATTCCGAGGTATTTAACGGTGTGTGACCAGGGAATATCTTGGTCGGCAATTTTAATAGCTTTAAGGGTCAGGTTTCTTTTAGTTGTGAATGTGATGGCTTGTGCTTTTGTGGGGTTGATTTTTAATTTCCAGTCTATGAAGTAATTTTGTAGTACATCTATATGGTTTTGTATGTATATTGTAGCTTGTGTAGGACTCTAGGTTGATGCGTATATTACAGTCATCGGCGAATATAGCTGTTTGAGTGTATGTTGTTTGAGGCAGATTATTAACATAGAGTATGAAGAGTAGGGATGAGATCCAAGGATGGACCCTCGTGGTACCATAGCTACGATTTCTTTATAGATGGATTTGGTTCCATTTATTCCGTTATGGAAACGAAGAATTTCCTATTGCTTAAGTAGTTGTTGATAATATGTTAAACTTGCGTGGAGTTTGATGTCGTGAAGTTTTGTTACCAGAGTTTTGTGCTAGTGTCGGAAGTTTCGTTTAGATCCAGAAGTAGGAGTTGTGTAGTGCGATTTTTGTTTTTTTCGATAATAATATGTTCGATGAAACGTTGGAGTTGCTGTATTGAAGAAGATTTGTGTGAAAGCCGAATTGTTGCGGGATGATTAAATTTATGTTTTTATTGTGATCTTGAATTTGGTGCTGGATGATTATTTCTAAAATTTTATCAAGGATATCTAATAAACTGATAGGTCTGCAGCTTGTTATGTCTACTGTGGGTATAGGAATGACTTTAGCTATTTTCCAGAGTGTTGGGAAGTAGGCAATTTGGAGACAGGCTTTATAAATATAATATAATTATTGGTTTTCTTGGAAGTTTCTTGAGTTTAGTGGTTGTTACGTTATTAGGTCCTGGTTTATTATTTGGAAGATGTTTAATTATGTTATTAATTATTGCAGTATGATTGTGTAGCAGGAAATAATAGGCCCGAATTTAGGATTATTTTATGTTGTATATCTTCTATTAAGGAGTACTGATTGTATGCCGTCCTATGTATATCCTGGAAATTTCGTGCCAAACCTTGTGACTTGTCCTCATCCGTGTAAAGCGAAGAGTTTTGTGTGAAATCCTGTAAAATCTTGGTATTTTGGTTTTGGAGCCACCGGTAATTTTATGGGTACTCCACAAGGAATGATCTGTTTGTTCAATATTGCTGCAATACGCTGTTTTTTTTTGTATTTATTATTATTTTTCGGATTTTGTTTGTGAGAATATTTCTGTGTAATTTATAGATGGGGTTTCCTGTTTTTTGAAATTTTCTTCCCATTTTGTTTCTATCTTTTATTGTGTCGAAGAGGAGTGGATCTGTGATAGGGCTTCTATTGTGTGTCGAGGCTGTTTGTGTTGCAATTTTGTATATTTTGTGTATGTGTTGCGTAAGGGCTTTAATTTCTAAATCTATTTGTGTTTCATTTTTTAGGTGTGGATTTATGTTGATTTTATTGCAAAGTTTGGTGTACGTTTTCCAATCTGTGTGTTCTGTCATTTGAATTCTTCTGGCTGTTCTATACGGTCGTACTGATAGTTCTACAAATAGTTAGAAAGTAGATCGTCAATGGTTTGGCAGTTATAAAAGTATGGTATGTTTGAGAGTGTAGCTGTCTGTACTCGAGTGCGAGTTTTGAACACCGACTAGTACAAGCCGCAAGTGGCTGTGCGCCTAACGTTGAAGTCTAGCGATATTCGATGTTAAGCAAACAGAGTGCGGAACACCGCTAGGATGGGTGACCGTCCAGTCTAGCGAGTATTTATAACAACAAGCGTCTGGGGTAAGGAGTCGCTGCCATCAACCCCACTGATCAGTCTAAGCAGCGACTCTGAGAAGAAACGCACAACCTTTCCTCCACCATATCCATTACCTTCACTTTCCTTCATCCTTACACCATCAACAATACTTCATCCCTTCAACTGATGATCACCGTGTGTAGCCGACCACCGATTCGAAAGATTCGATGGCAAATAGAAGTGCCACACACACCACAGCCGCAGAACCGAGTAACGCGGAACCCACGAGAGATATTCTGGTCGGGCACCGTTATTCGGGCAGGAAAAACCTAACCTGTGTGGTTCAAGCAGTAACCAGATGCAACAGCTATTCGAGCAGAAAGAAATTGGAGACTGGACACCGTCGTACTTTCTTCGGCTCATGTTGACAGGTGAAGCCGCGACGGAAGAGTTCCTGAAGACCATGTGGCTAAGTAGATTGCCACAAGCAGTCCGGATAGTCACAGAGCGCATTGGACGTCCCCTTGAATCAGCTGACAATCGCGACAGACAAGATACATGAGACTGTGCCGAAAGCAGCGGCCCTGTCCGCGAACACCGACCGGTCAGAAGAGTGGAACACCTGGAAAAGTTCGCGCGGCTAGACCAGTATGGCGTAGTAGTCAACACTACTCCGATTAAGTGCATATTCGCGCAAACTGAAATAAAATTTCTAGGGTATACAGTAGCCGAAAACGGAATGAAACCGCTCGCCGAAAAGGTTAAAGCGATTCAAGATTTCCCTAAACCGGATAGCAAGATTCCTAGGTACGATGAACTTTTAGGTACGATTACTTTTACCAAAGATTCATACCCAAGGCCGCGAAACTGCAAGCTCCACTGAACCAGCTTTTAAAGGGTCGGAAATTAAAACGTAATGTTCCGATCCAATGGTTCGCCGAAGCTGCATTTCAAGCGCTGAAAGACGCGCTATCAAACGCTGCATTTCTAGCACATCCATCAAATCGTGCAAATCTCGCGATTAAGGTGGATGCGTCTGATTTTGCGTTAGGAGCAACTCTGCAACAGCAGGAGGAAGGTGCGTGGCGACCACTAGCCATCTTTACGAAAACTTTGTCGTCGGTACAGCGCAAGTATAGCACCTACGACAAAGAGTTGCTCGCCGTTTATTCCGCGATTAAACAGTTTCGGCACGCAGTGGAAGAACGGTCGTTTGCTGTGTATACCGACCACAAACTAATAGTATACGCATTCAAACAAAAACCGAAAAAGAGTATCCCACGACATTTCCGATACCTCGATTCTATTAGTCAATTCACAACCGATATCCGACATGTCAGCGGAAAAGACAACGAGGTGGCAGACGCACTATCTAGAGTAGAAGCAGTGACCGCGGCACTAGACTACGAACGTCTAGCCCACAAGAACTCACAAAGAACTCAGATGAGGAACTGAAACAACTCCTCACCGCGTCTGGCAAATCACTGAAATTAATGAAGATCAAACCCATAGGCAGCGATGTACTGCGACATATCAACTGACGCATTCAGGCCGTTTGTAACACCTGCATATCGCAGACAGGCATTCGATTCAGTGCATGGTATAGCGCACCTGAAAATAAAAACGACAGTCAGACTGATTAAACAACGTTACGTCTGGCCGTCGATCGACCGCGATTGTAGGAAATAGGCACGAAGCTGTGTAATGTCAGCGAGCTAAAGTAAGCAGGTACGTAATAAGCCCTACAGTGAACTTTTTGCCGCCGTCCACTAGGTTCGATCATGTGCATATCGACCTAGCTACCAAGTTCAGAAGGGAAAAGATACTGCCTCACTTGCGTAGACAGATACACGCGTTGACCCGAAGCCTTTCCGATCGCCAACATCGAAACAGTCGCGAAAACCTTCATCGAAGTTTGGATATCTCGATTCGGCACGCCTGCCCGCGTCACCACCGAGCAAGGCAGGCAGTTTGAATCGAGATTATTCAATCTGTAGCGGCTAGCAGATATCGGAGAAAAGACGTTTTCTCAGACAGAAAAGTTAGAAGAATTTACGACTCACATGGCGCCGACGCTATTGAATTGAAAAGGCTAAAGTCAGTTTTGCAGTGCGTTAGACCGGATGTCCGCACTTATAGTTTTAGAAATACAGCTTCAATAGCATTTCTGCGAAGCTTCGTAAACTCTTGGATTCCTAAGGGCAACCCAAATCGGCATCTGGAAAACACTTGGAGAAAGTGAGTGAGGCCCAGAGGAAACCCTGCTACACCGCCACAATTCCCGGCGAAATTGCAGCCCCACTCCCAGAGAAAATGCGTCACGAACGCAAGGAGTAAGCAATTCGTGACAACCTAATTGGTCAAAACTCAGAAACGGTTTAGCCAATGAGGGATGTCCGAGACGAGGACCGAGTTTTCCTCAAAGCGAAAAAGCTTCGGAAAAAAGGAGAGAAATACGGGCCGTCAGAGAGTCACGAAGAAACTCCGCGATACGCCGCGAATAAAAGTATTCACCGCGCTTACGAACTCCGCACTATCTCTTGTAATTTATCGAATAAAAGTGTTAACAGATAACACGAATCTAACAGTCATTTCACCTAGCACTAAACCACACAAACATCCCTAAACAGTCATTCATTCCACAGATACGAACCATGACACGTTAGGACAAAAATTCAATTGTAAAAGGTACAACTGGGGTCCAATGACCTGTAACTCGCATCAAGGGTAATTTTTGCCCTAAATTTTAGAAATTAGAATTGGTCTCGTATTAATCGTCGAAAGGAATAGACATCATCGCACAGTGTATAGTACATAGTGAGCAAAAAACTTATAATACCCGGAAAGCAAGTTAATACTTTAGGGCATATATGAAATGGAACATGAATAACAGCGCACTATTTGCAAAGAGAGTACGTAGACGCAAAGGAAAGCGAAACGGAGAGGAGGGATCGAATATCGATTCTCCCTCAAAGAAATCTAGAAAAAAGAAAAAAGCAATGGAATCAAGTGACAGCAACGGAAACATTAAGCAAATACTTAAGGAAACGCAAAATGATTTGCTGAAAGATGTTCAAGCGGCGAAAAGTATTTTAAATTTCTGCAAAATCATGACAATTAAAAATACAAATAACAAATGCCTCTACATAAAAAAAAGAACGTGACGGGAATGATTAAAATGTTGATGCACTTCATGGAGGAAAACGAGACTCTCTGGGAAAGCTGCGTAAATTGTGCTCAAAGTGTTCAACTGCTCAAACGTGAAATCCAGGAAACCAAAACCATACGCGTAAAAACAGAGCTTCGGGAATAGGCA